CTCCCATAAGCGTCCTGACCAGGAATCAAACCCGGGACCTTTCAGTGTACCTGACGATGCGCCAACTGAGCCACACCAGCCAGGCATGGGGGGATCTTTCTTGACGCAGCTGCTGCCCTTCCCAACCACTGGAGGATGTCTGAGAACTGGCTCTAGAGTGGCAGCTGGGTTTCCAGGGGCAGTTGGCCAGGTCAGTGGACTTTGTTGTGAGTTTGATTCAAGGTCAGGGAAATAACACAGAGCTGTTTCTAAGGGGCTGCTAATACGGGAAGCCCAAGTAGATACTGGGGTTACCTATTTGCCTGATCCCCTCCTGGGTTCTAGGCTTGTGCTTGGCTCTAGAATAAGAGATCAGCGAGACCCGCGACAGCCTATGGCAGAGAAAGCAGGCCCGGGGCTCCGATGGAAGCGAGTGTCCCTCTCCAGCTGGCCTCACGGCATTACTTAGGGAAGTGGGGCATGGAAGCCTCTAGAGAGCAGTCAGCTTTGGGGACAGACGCTGTACATCTTTCCTCCTGGGTGCCCCCCAACCAAAGTACAGAGGAGCCAGGCAAGGCTCCCCAAGGATTCCCGGCTGTGGCCCATCACCCTGCCTGCACCCTTTTGCCATGGAGGCCTGAGGGTGGGTGTGGGTCATCATGAACCCGTGTAAACCCCCTCCCTCCAGCCGCCCTGCTTCTGTCTTGGGTTCCCAATGCTGGTGACCTCCATTCATGTCACAACAATCAGTACAGAGACCAACAGACAGAGGGCAGTCACGCACTTTGGGGCAGGTGACTTGATCTCTCTTGGCCTCTGTCAACTTCACAGAGCTGGGGAGTACCCAGAGCCAAGGGTATGGGCCGTCACCCCCACAGCAACCCCCTTCTTCCCTCACCTGCCCCTGGGGCTCGGGTAAAAGTTAGCAGGCTGGCTGCATGGCCAGCAATGCGGCCCAGTCCATTCAGGTTGGCGGCCTCCAGACGCCTCTGTTTACTGATGGGGAAACTGAGGCCCCGAACATGGAAGTGACCAGCCCAAGGCCACACAGTGAAACTGAGACGAGACCAGAACTCAGACCTCCCAGTGACCTGAGAAAATCGCTGCCCAAAGAAAGCTGAGCCCGCTGGTGTGGCTTAGCCACTGAGCATGACCTCTGAACCAGGAAGTCCTGGCTTGGTTGCCAGTCGGGCTCATGCCCAGGCTGCGGGCTCCATCCCCAGTGGGGGGTGTGCGGGAGGCAGCCGATCAATGACTCTCATTGATGTTTCTATCTCTCCCTCTCCTTCTCCCTCCCTTTCTCTGAAATCAATCAAAAAAATACGTAAAAGAATGCTGAGATTGTGCTGAGATAGCTCTTAAAAATCACCCAGAGCACTATTTAAAAAGCAGATTGTGGAGACACACCACAGACCTTCTACATGAGAACACCAGGTGGGGGGGGGGCGGGAATCTGAATTTTGAAACTCAAACCACCTCTGGTGGCAATTGGTCGGATGGGCCAGTGTGGGCCTCTCCACATGACTGGCAGCCCATGTACTGTACTGAATTTTCTCCACCTGCCTCCCAGATCACCCTTCTTGGACGAAGACCGCCCTGTGCGGGGTACCTCACCCTGAAGACCGCCCTGTGCGGGGTTCCTCACCCTGAAGACCGCCCTGTGCGGGGTACCTCACCCTGACTCTGTTGGGTTTGACCTCTAGGGCAGGTGCAAGAGGCCAGGAGGCAGGAGGGGGGGTGGTGTTTCCTGCACATGCTCCTCCCTGCAGGGCGGCAGCTGGTCCAGGCCAGGGCAGCCCCCTCTAGGGCACCCCCACTTACCCTTCAGACCCAGCAGTAATAACAGCGCCCTCTGTTGCCAGCCCTGGGGCACCTCACGACCCCTTGGAGGTTCACCCAGCCCTGCCCACTCCTCTGTCCTCTATCCCTCCATCCTGCTGTGTTCAGTGACCCCCTTGCGTGTGCCATCCAGTTCCACGCAGCCCTCAGTCTCTGTCAAAGAGAAGTCCACCTCCACCTCCAGCTCAGGGAGAAGGTTCTGGAACTGGCTGTGAAGGGGGTACAGAAGAAGGTCACCCCACCCGGCCTGCAAGGTCAGGGGTGGGTGATTCTGAGCTGAGGCTCACAGGGAAGGGGCAGGTGAGGAGCCAGCATCTCACCAGGCAGAAAGCCTGACAAGCGACCAGATGCCCAGGAATCCAGGAGAGTTGGGCACGCAGACAAAAGATCAGGGTGACCAAGAAGGGTGAGGATAGCGAGAAGGGGCCCCAAGCATGACTTCTAAAATTGGTGGAAGAACACTTCTGACAACCCCACCCCTCTGGTAGGAAGGATTTGCCTGCACATGACAAATGACTCTGAAGATCACCTTCCGAGGAGTACAACGTGTGGCAGCTCATGACCAGCTGCCTGTGTGACCCCCAGCCCCCTTGTCCATAACACGAGGTCACAATCCCGCCTGACCCTCTCCCAGACACACGGGGAGAATTCATGAACGTGAAGGCTCTTTGCAAACTGTACTGTAAGGGACCCAGGGGAACCATGGATGACCGTTCTTTAGGCCAAAGAAACAAATGGGGTTGTCGGCTTTATGGGAAATGAAGGCTTCCTCAGCACCCCAAGCCTTCTCCATCACTGTGGACCCCCCTGATTGAAAAACCAAATCTCCAGGTGCTCCCCAGACACAGAGACGCCCGTTGACGTTTCCGATGGCCCGGAGCTCCCAGGGCGGCTAGGCCATTGTTCCTGAGCAAGAGCGGAAGGTGCTGGAAATCCATTTTCAGGCTCCCTGATTAGGTGATGACAGCTCTGGTTTTAGCCAATTAAATACCATTTTCATTCACATATATCAGGTCCAGAAATGGGGGTATTTGTTCCAGGAGGCCTTTCTCCATGGGTTTCCGTCTCCTCCACCTTTACGTTCCCATTGCTGCTTTGAGGTCATCACTGTGCAGGGGCTCAGTCTCCACCTGCATTAGATGCTGGGGTCCAGGGATAAATCCTGACCCCAAGGAGCTCAGAGTCTACTGGGGAGACTGATAATTAACTAGTCTTACAGCGATGGACACAAAACACTCGACATCCCCAGCCTGGTTCCTGCCCTTGGGGAGGTTCCATTCTCATGTGTGAAATCAAATAAGTAAAATACAGCCGTGATGCACTGTGGTAAGAGCTAAGAACAACGATGTAAGAAGAGCATCCGAGCAGGACATCACACTCAAGCTGTGTGCAAAGGTCTGGACCCCTCTCCGAGCTGCTTGAAGCAAAACAGGCCACTTGAGACCATGAACTCTGGCCAAGTCGGTCTACATTGGAAACCTCAAATTTTCCCATCTGTGAAATGGGATAATAACAGTTGTTGAACTATGGATATGTTTGCATAGTGCTGGCACAGAGTAGATGCTCAGTAAATGTTCTTGCTCTTTTATTATTATTATTATTATTATTATTATTATTATTATTATTATTCCACTGGCCTAGCTTCCCCAGAGCTGCTGGGCCAGGCATGGTCTCTACAAAAAGCTGGCTTGATGAGTGGATCACAGGGAAGGTGCTGAATGGTTTCTAGTGTTTGACAGCCCAGCACTGAGGTCAAGAGCACAGGCCGGAAGCAAACACAGGTTCTTCCCAGTCCCACGTCCTCCTGGGCTCTCTGAGTCTTAGTTTTCTTACCTGTAAAATAGGATAAGGGCACCTGTCTCCATCCCTGCTTCCATCTTCACATGACTTTCCCTTCTGTCCCCTCTTCTGTCTCTTAAAAGGACACTGGACTTAGGGTCCACTTGATAACGCAGGATAATCTCATTTCGAGATTCTTAATGTAATTACATCGACAAAGAATCTTTCCCAAGACACATCCACAGAACTGGGATATAGCCCTTGGAGGACCATCATTCGAGCCGCTGCAGCTGGTTGGGGGGCGGACAGGGAGCCTTGCTGGCCCCTCTCACGGTGCCCGGCTCTGTAGGGCCCCCAAGCACTTACTGAATGAACTTGGCAGAAAAGTGTAAAGAGAAGTTACTGGGGCCTCTGCTCTGACCTGCTGGGCGGGTCGCTGTGCTATCCAGGTCTCAGGCTCCCCTTCGTAAGATCGGGAAGTTAGGTGCCATTATCTCTAGGTAACGTCCTAAGATCGAGACCTGGGGAGCTTCCAGAAATAGGCCTGGCAGCCTGCACGTGTTGCTGACGAGACACCCCAGGAGCCCCACTCTTCTAGCCAGGCCCCGATTTCCTCAGTGGCAGGAAAGGCGGCCCCTGACCAAAGGAATGAGTATAAAGCCTCGAAGGTGCCTTGCTAAGGGTTTTATTTAATCGTCCCAATGATATTTATGAAAATAAGCATTATTTCCATTTTACAGCTGGGCAAACTGAGCCTCAGAGAGATCAGTCACTCACCAGAAGCCACCTGGCTAGTGTCTGGCTGCCTCCCAAAGCCCGCGCTTTGGGGCAGAGGGACCTGGCTCTGCCACAAGGATACCGTGAAGCAGGCACCTAGGGGGCTTCTGATGCCCGGCCTTTGTGCCAGGGGCCTCGCTAAGTGCTTTATTTTGCTGGATCATCTCATTTATCCTTAGGAAACAGAGAGGTTTGTGCTGTTATGGTGGCCCCCATTTTACAAATGGGGGACAATGGCTTCTGCAGCTTCCAGAACTTACAGAAGCCACAGGGCGGCTGCTGAACCAAGACGCCCCCTGAAGCCAGAGCCCAGAGTTGAACTGTGTGCTAAGGGGCGGGAGGGGCGAGCAGGGGGAGTGGGACTAAGGCCACCCCCAGGGGGGCGCTGGGGAAAGCAGGCTCCCCACCAGGCCAGTGCCTGGCAGGAGGCCACGGCGTCTCTTCCCTTCAGGCAAGGACACCAGTCTTACTGAATTAAGGCCCATCCTGCTCCAGTATGGTCTCATATTAACTAATCGCGCCTGCAACCACCCTATTTCCAATGAGGTCACCTCCCTGAGGATCCAGGAAGAAGATGAATTGGGGGAGCACTATTTAACGCAGCTCAAGTTCAAGGCTTTGAAGAGATGATGGAGTTCATCCTCATGTTTGCAGTGGGGGAACTGAGACCTGAGAAATCAAGTTACTTCTGCCAGGTCCCAGCGTCGAGGGCAGAGCTGTGGTCGGTGCCAGGATTCCTGACACCATATACGGCCTCCAAGGGTATGTGTGACAGCTGGGACCAAAGTCCTGTCCATCGGGTGACCAGCTAACCTGTACCCCACCCACATGCCTGCAGTCCCAACCTAAGGGGGCCTCCTAGGACAGCCTCGATGTCCCCTCCATCTCTGCCTTTCCAGGGACCTCTCACTGCTTCCTACTGCGAGTTGGACTCGGTCACCAAAGGAGACAAGCTCTGTTGGTCAATTTTCCTCCTTCAAAAAAATAAATTCATAAATGGCCCTTGGCAAGCTGTTTACTACCTGGCTTTAACGGCCTGTTTATTACCTCGAGCCTGCGTCTGTTAACACGCCCCCTCGCCATTTTCCCTCATTAGCTGTCAATTTGGAGGCCGGTGTTGGCATTAACCATGCCTGGGCCTAATGGCTGTGGACAGTTGATTTTATGGCCGAGCCTTGTCTTGGAAACGCGAGGCCTGTCGTCAGAGAGGAGGCTGCAAACGGGGGTCTCAGCAGCGGGCGGCGGGGACACGGGCCCGCTGGCCAGGCAGGTGGGGGTCGGGGCATGTGGGCTCTGAGGGTGGACAGCCCTGCTCCTGGCCGCTGAGGGGAGAAGCCCACTTAGAAGGAAGTTTCGCTTCGGAGAGAGATTATAAAGACTCTCTGCTGTGGAAAAATGAGCTGCTGTGAATGTAGAAAACAAAATTCATTTTTGGGAAACAACCCCAGTAGATCCAGGCATTGGCTCTGAGGCTGGTCTTATAAAGCTTCCCACCCCTACCCTGGCCGGTTGGCTCAGTGGTTAGAGCGTCGGCCTGCAGCCTGAAAGGTCCCGGGTTTGATTCCGGCCAAGGGCTCGTACCTCGGTTGCGGGCTCGTACCTCGGTTGCAGGCTCGATCCCTGGCCCTNCGGCCTGCAGCCTGAAAGGTCCCGGGTTTGATTCCGGCCAAGGGCTCGTACCTCGATTGCGGGCTCGTACCTCGGTTGCGGGCTCGATCCCTGGCCCTGGTCAGGGCACATGCGGGAGGCAACCAATGGATGTGTCTCTNCGGTTGCAGGCTCGATCCCTGGCCCTGGTCAGGGCACATGCGGGAGGCAACCAATGGATGTGTCTCTCTCACATCGAAGTTTCTCTCTCTCTCTCTCTCCCCTTCCAGGCTCTCTGAAAAGCAATGGGAAAAAACATCCTCAGGTGAGGATTGAAAAAATAATAAACAGGCATTTAAAATAAAATAAATAAAATAAAATAAATAAAGCTTCCCACCCCTTTGTGCCCATCCACTCTGTGCCGACCTCACTGGGACAGAGGAAGCAGAAATAAATGGGAGGTGCCTCTGTCCTCAAAGGGCTCCTGTCCGAGGAGAGAGATGGAGGCGCCCACAGGTCACGACAAGGTCATAGAAAGTGGAAAGGGGAAAACTGGGGAGGAGAGAAACAAAGAGGGGGTGGGAAGAAGGAACTGAAACCTCAGCAAGGATGTGTCATTGGGTTTCCCAAGGGAGAAAGAGCCCACAGAACTTGGGTGAGCCCTACTGTGTGCCAGGCTTTGGGCTACCCAAGTGACACAGGTCATATCTCCTGGGTGGAAGGTGTTATCACCCCAGTTTTATAGGACAGGAACCTAAAGGTCAGTGTTCCCAACCTGCCCAAGGTCACCTGCTATCCCAGGACTTAGTGCCCATGTGTCTGGCCACCTCGGCTTGCAGACTGGGACTGCTGGGGGCTGGCAGGGGCTCCTGCCATGCGGTCCTGGTGCTCATTTGACCTCCTAACTCACAGTAGGACTAAGCTACAGAAGCAAGTAACTTGTCACCGGGAAGGGACCCCACCCCGCCTTTGATAAAGTCCTTTGTTTTCCAAATGCTTTGTCCTGGATAATCATAATAATTTAATGATTTTTCTAGAGACAATGATAAAAGGGGAAGTTTTGTGTTTCTATTAGCATAAGTTTTCCTTATCTCACATAGCCCACTAGCAACTCCCTCCTCACCTGCCTCCCCCTCCGGATCTGCCGCCCCAGGGAAGAGCGCGGGAGGGACGCTGGCCAAGGGCATTTCTTTAGCTTCCTCCAAGCACAGAGCTCAGACCGCACAAGGAGGCCTAACCCTCTGCTTATGTCTTGGGGGATGGGAGGGTCCCTTCCTAATATCAAACTGCCCCTAGTAGGTTGTTTGTTTTTATTGGATTACGGGATTGTTTATGTGCCCTGGGTATAATCCTCTGTCTGGTAAAGTGTGGCATTGTCTTGTTCCTGTTTGGAGTTTGTTTGTTGAAGGTGAATTTGAACAACGCTTTTCTAACTACCTTGCTGTCCTACCAATCTTTTCCACGATTGTCCTTTTTGGGTCGCTTCTAAACGTCTCCGTTATTTGGAGGTCATAAGAATATCCGCCACTACTTTCTTCTAAGAGATTTTCAACTGCGCCTTTCCGCTGACATAGCTGATGTATCTGGATCTAGATTTTGTAAGTGACAGGGTCAGGCAAGGACCCATGTTTGTTTTGTAACCCGTGGTCCTAGCATCTTCTACAGACGAGTCCCTCCTCTCTGGTGGCCCGAAATGCCGCCGCAGTGCAGTGTCGGGTTCCCAGGGGTGCTCAGGTTTGTTTCGGAGCGTTTCCGTGTGTTTCGATGGCCAGCGTCCCTGTGCCCATAGCACACTGCCACAATCCACACAGCTCGGCCATAAATCTCAGCATCTTCTGGGCAGATCGCCCCGCTTCATGCTTCTTCAGGAATGTCTTGGCTTTTCTGGGGCCTTTGTTCTTCCATATAAATTTTAGAATCAGCTTGTTCAGTCCCTTGAAAAATCCAGTTGTGATTTTGATTGGAATCGTATTAAGTCTATGGCTCAATTTGAGGATATTCGAGACTTTCAACATATCAAGTCATCCCAGCTATGAAATGAGAAATATTTCTCCTTTTATTTATGACTCCTTTAATGATTTTCTCTAACATTATGTAATTTTCTCTATCAAAGTCTTCTACATTTAAAAAATATCCTCAGATGACTCATATCTTTTTTTTTTTTTGGTGCTATTATAAATGGACACAGACAATGGTGCGGTGATGGCCAGAGGGAAGGGAAGGTAGAAGCTGGGCAGAGAGGGCAAAGGAGGGGAAATGGGGACATCTGCAATAGTATCAAAAATAAAAATAAAGAAAAAAATGCGCTCCCTAGCGGTTTCAGCTAAGTGGTTAGAGCATCAGCCCTCCCTCCGTCCCTCCCTCCCTTCCATTCTCTCTGAAAAGCAATGGAAAATACATCCTCAGGTGAGGATTGAAAAAAAAAATGCCAAAAAAATTCAAATTCTCTTAACAGGAAAAATATAAATAAATGAATGGTATCATTTTTGAAAGTACATTTTCTAATTGCTTGTTACCTGTATATAGAAATGCAATTAAATTTTTTTATTATTTATATCTAAGTACTTTGCTAAACTCTCATTAATCTTAAGAATTTGTAGACTGCTTTATATTGCCTATGTGAACAATCATAGCATCTATAAATAATGACAGTTTTATTTCTTTTTTACCCAATCATTATATCTTTTACATCTTTTTCTTGCCTTATTGCACAGTGGTGATAGAAGGCACTCGTCTTATCTCTAGTTTCTACGGAAAAAGTTCTAATTTACCACCATTAAGGGTATTGATTTGGATAGACATGTTTACCTTGTCAAAGAAGCTCTTTTCCATTTCGATTTTGGTAAATATTTCTGTGATTGTTTCAGTGATTATAAATAGGTGTTAAATTTTCCAGACTCTTATTTCTACACATATTAGGATGGTTTGTTTACTTCGATTTGTTAAGGTAGTAAATATTTATAGGCTTTTCCCAATATTAAATCACCTTTGCATTTTGAGGATTAAACCCAACTTGGTTCTCTTTTGGGGGGGGAGGTGAAAATTTTATTTTATTTTATCTTAAATTTTATTTTATTTTTTTCCCATCACCGTTTATCCTCTCTATGCCTTCTCCCCCGCCCCCAATTACCACCCTGTTGTCCATGTCCAAGAGTTCTCTCTTTTTTGCTCAATCCCTCCACCCCCCTCCAACACCCTCCCCCCAGATTTCACTCTTATGTGGAATTTAATGAACAAACTGAACTATCAAGCAAAACAGAGACAGACTCATAGATAGCAGGCCAACTTGGTTCTCATGCCTTATCTTTTCTTTATATTGTCAGATTCAGTTTGATAATATTGTAGGTAGGACTTTTGCATTCATGCTAATCAATGAGATTTACCTGTAATATTCTTTTCTCATACAGTACCTGACTGGTTTTGATAGCAAGGTTGTATTACCACCATAGAATGAGCTAGGCATTTTTAAAACTAATCTCTGGAAGATTTTTGTATAAGACCAAAATGAACTTGAAACCTTGGTTGAGCTTCCCTGTTAAAAAAAAAAAAAAAAAAGATCTGGGACCTGTAACTATTTTTAATATTTTTTCCTGTAGAAAAATAGTTAACCTCTTGCTCATTTTATAAATGGCTATAAGAAAATTCGGATTTCCTAATTCTTTCTGAATCAATTTTGGAATTATATTTTTTCTAAAAATTTGACTATTTAAGAATTCCAATTTTGGGCAGAGATTTTTTTTTTTTTTTATAAGATTCTATTAAATCTTTGCTATAACTCTAGTTCTGATCCATTTGTATTCTATCGTTTTTTTCTCTGTGCTTTCTTTTTTACCACTCTTACCAGAAGTTTGTCTATTTTACTAATCTTTTCAAAGAACTAACATGTAAACTTGTCGACATTTACTGTCTCCTTTCTACTTTCGTTGGGGGGATGCTGTTTTTTTTAGTTTGTATATTTTCAGATTTCCTTTATTCTTTTTTTTTTTTATCCTCACTAGAGGATATTTTTTTCCATTGCTTTTTCAGAAAGCGCGGAAAGGGTGGGAAGGGGGAGAGAGAGAGAGAGAAACATCGATGTGAGAGAGACACATCCATTGGCTGCCTCCTGCATTCACCCCAACCAGGGCCGGGATCGAGCCTGCAACCGGGGAACGTACCCTTGGCCAGTATCGAAC